CAAGGGGAAGCTCTGGGGTAAATCCCTCTGTGCTCAAGGGGAAGGAGCTCTGGGGTAAATCCCTCTGTGCCCAAGGGGAAGCTCTGGGGTAAATCCCTCTGTGCCCAAGGGGAAGGAGCCCTGGGGTAAATCCCTCTGTGCCCAAGGGTTCCATTTGAGGGATCTGCCAGCCCAGGCAGTGCTCAGTGCTCTCCTCTCCAGCCCCTTCCTGAGGCTGGCACTGCCATCCCACCATCCCCAGCACAGCTTCACGTGCCCTTCTGGATCCTTCTGGAACACAAAGGTGACAGCCTGAGGCACTTACATCAGCTCGTAATTCCTCCGGATTGTTTCTGGGATGTTTGGYTTTGTAACTCGAACTGCCTGAAGAGAGAGAGACACAGAAAATGTGGGGCAGTCAAACAGGCCCTGGGGCTGCAGGGGACAGGGGGTGGCACTTGGGACATGCTCTGCCACCAGACCCAAAATCCACAGGGAAACAGCAATGAAGGATCTGCTGATGTGACAGAAGATTTTAACCTGGGCAAACCAACACCCAGAGTAACTTCAGGAACAATCAACACATCAAAACTGTGAGGGGACAGGAAAGACACTGCTCCCACTCCTCAGGTTAAATAAAGCTGTGTTGTAAAGCAATTTCCTAAAAAATCTCAGTTTCTCATTTCCTTTTAGCCCTTTTCACAATCTGAAATATCAATGTCCCCAGTATCTCAATCAAATCCTGATTACCTGTATAATTAATCCGGGGGCCATCGTGGTTAGGTCCTGCTGCAAGGCCAGTTTCAGGTTTTCATCAATCTGATCTKATTGGGGGAAGAAGAAAAGGGAATGAAACAGCCCCATAAAGGCAGTTGATGCTGTCAGCACCCAGAGTGAGCTGGGGTGGCTCACATTTCTTATTCTGGAAAGCACAAATGGGATTTGGATGYTGCAGTGCTGGGCTGACCCCGAGGCATCAACCCTTGGGACACCACAGATAGGAAAGGAAACCTTTCAGTTTTCCATCCCCTGCAGTTTGGAATCTTCCTGAGCCAAAATAGCATCTTTACAACAAGGAATCTGTGCTTTAACCCCCTTCCCCACTGATCTTCCCAAGCAGATCCTAAAGGAACGTGGTAAATCTGAACCAACTCTGACCTGTGCCCGTGCCAGCAGAACACACAGCAAATGGAAAGGCAGCAATGGCAAATGAGAGCAGCAGTTCCTTCAAGAGGCTGCAAAAATCATCACTAAAGTGCCTTTGGCTCGAGGAATCATTTCAAAAGAAACACAACCCAAAAAACCCCGATCTGATGAAAGCTCCAAGGAGGGCAGAGCTTCCAGCTGGGAAGGGCAGAGGGAAAATCAAACTGGAACAGTTTGGGAGGGATCACATCTCACTCCTGCAGTGTTTGCTTTGGTCCCAGTTTCCTCTCTGRGCTCTCACAAAGCCCAGGCAGGGGTTTGGGAAGCAGCTGGTCCCAGTTCCCTGCACCTGCTGGCAGATGTGGGGGCAGAGGGTGATGTGAGGCCACCCAAAGGGGCTGTGTCCCAGTGCAGAGCCTAAGCCAGACCTAGCCAGCTCAGCCTAAGAGCTCAGGGCACTTTGAACATGTTCTTTCTGTGCACTGAGGGTGCTCTCAGCCCTTTTCAAGCACTTGTCACCAGCAGCTGCCAACATCTGGAGCCTCCATCAGCCAGGAACKCGTCCAGCAGSRACTGGGAACTGAACTGGGAACTGGGGGAAAGCCTTGGAAAGGCCAGGCTGAGCAGAGAACAGCACTTTGCAAACACCCCCTGCTCTCTCAGGCACAAATCCCATCCCTCTGGGCTCCCAAAGCATTCCCAGCACTGCTGAGTGCTGAAAGGCTGCAGGGATTTCCTGTCAGGCCAGAGCCAGAAACAAAACACTCGGCATGGGCAGCCACTGGGCTCGTTCTACCAAAAAACCACAGCTTTTCCTCAGCCTCCCCTGCCATGTGTCTCCTTGGGAATGCCTGATTTCTCCTTGGGAATCCCTGATTTCTCCTAGGGAATGCCCGATTTCCTTTTGGGAATGCCTGATTTCCTTTTGGGAATGCCTGATTTCCCCTTGGGAATGCCTGATTTCTCACTGGGAATCCCTGATTTCCCTTTGGGAATCCCTGATTTCCCCTTGGGAAGGGCAGCAGCTCCTGCCAGCTCTCCTGGGTTATGGGCACCACAGCCCAAAGCTCATCAAAGCCTGCTCAGATTTTCTGTAACAGCAGAGCCAGAGCTTTTCCATCTGGATTAGAAAATCCTSTGACTGATCCAATTCACACAGAATTCCTGCTCTCTTCCCTACAGGGGCAGGGCTAGGCTTGGATTTATTGTCACAGCACATTGAAGCACTCAGCTCCAAAAAATAACACAGATAAACCCCAATTCCAAACAGAGCAAACACGGGATTAATGGATGAAAACCCATCTGGGGTGGCTCTGAAAACATCACAGGGAAAAAAACCCTCAGGAGCAGCAATTGCAGTTGCAGCTCACCAAACAGCTCGATGTACACCTCCTGCAGCGTGTGCACACTGCAGAACTGGTTCAGCTCRTGGTGGATCTTGTTGAAGATSAGAGCTTTGTCGTAGTCRGCCGTGTAGTTCTTCACGATGTCGTACACTGGAGAGGAGAGAGGGGGAAGGGAGCAGGGACAGGAGGGTGAGCACCCTCAGGGAAAATCTTGGGGCTCAGGGAGGGTGAAATGAGGGACCCCCAAACCCTCTGGCTGGAGCAGGTTTATTTATTGCTGCTATTTTGTGACCCCTTCACCAGGATCTGTGCCCTGCTCTGTACAGGGAAGGGTCTGAAGCACCCACAGATCTCAGGCTGTGCACACACACACACACCCAGAGGCACTCCTGGTTAAAATCCAGGGTGTTTTGGTTAAAAACCAGGAAGTTTTGGTTTAAAACCAGGGTGTTTTGGTTAAAATCCAGGGAGTTTTGGTTAAAAACCAGGGAGTTTTGGTTAAAAACCAGGGTGTTTTGGTTAAAACCAGGGTGTTCTGGTTCAAAACCAGGACGTTTTGGTTCAAAACCAGGGTGTTTTGGTTCAAAACCAGGGAGTTTTGGTTCAAACCCAAAGGATTTTCAGCTCAGGGATCTGCCAAGGGCTGCCTGTGGCATCACCTGGCTCCCA